AATATACATCTTCATTGGTTTCAATAAAATTGTTGTATATAGCTATATATATAGCCAAATATATATCTATATCTAAGAAAGCAAATTCCACAAGGGCATAGGATATCGTGAAATTTATTTAGAAGCATCTACCATAGGATCAGACAGGCAGTGAATGTTTCTGGAAATGAAATTTGCTGTAGTTCTGCTATGGAATATCAAAGTCTACTGTAACATTTTAAAACTGAACCTACATTTTATATTCTCATACAACATTTCAAAGAATATAAAAACAGTATGTTATAGAGCCAAACTCCAGAATAAGACTAAAAAAAATACTGAACTCTCATTTGAAACTGAAGTTGTTCAAGTTTAAGGAAAATGAGCCAAGCTAGTCCACATTTACTGCATCTCCTGAGGGACTGGGAATAATTGAAGGAATATAATTTGAAGAAGACAGTTGGCATTCTGCATGTTTCCTGATATTAGGAAGAAATCAGAAAAAACACATGAGGCATCTTTCAACAGTATCATATAAGGAGAGAGAAGTTGATCCCGGATGACAATTATATCTTTCAACTACAGAAATTAATTTTCATTTACAGAGCAGAAGCCCCAAATCCTTGGGTCAACAAAAACAGTTTTCCTATCAAAGGACCACTTAAAACATTAAATTCAAATACAGTTAAGGGAGAACTTTACTAGATGTTTTATTTTGCAACAAGGACTTCAGTTGGCATTACACAAAAAGAAAGGCAACAGCTGCCAAATCATTTGCACGGCCAAACCACAGAATTTCTGCAACTTAAGGTGTTCTACTGAAAAACGCTGCCTACAATTTGGGGAACATATATAAATCACTGCTGGTAAGGTCCAATTTTGGCCATTTGCATGGCCAAACCATAGAATTTCTGCAACTTAAGGTATTCTACTTAAAAACACTGTCTAAGATTTAGGAAGCATATATAAATCACGGCTAATAAGGGCCAATTTTAAAAATAGGAATAACTTGATTTAACGTATTTATTATTGCATCCAACATAAAATATAAAATTTTCTGTACAACTTTTAAAGCCCTTCATAATCTGGCCCCTTTCTATCTCTCCAGTATTTTTATACCTTATACTCTGCCATCCAATGACAATAGTCCCCTTGCAGACCATGACAATGCATTTCCTGACTCTGCATTTTCACTAGCTGGCCCCCATGCCTAGAACTCTTCCTCCTGCCGGTACCTTTAATGTGTTTTCTTCTCTCATTAGAGTGTCAATTTCTTGAGGGCAGGGTCCATTTCTTTTGGCTTCTATTTGTATCAGCATTGCTTAGCACAGTGCCTAGCATAGGAATGGGGAACCGGTGGTCTCAGGGCCACATGTGGCCCTCGAGGTCCTCAAGTGTGGCCCTTTGAATCCAAATTTCACAAAACAAATCCCCTTAATAAAAGGATTTGTTCTGTAAAACTTGGACTCAGTCAAAAGGTCACACCCAAGCACCTAGTAGGCCCTGGGACAGCTCTTAGTAAATGCTTGCTGACTTGGACTATGAAGTCAAAAAGCCCTCTCTTCAAAACTCAGTTGTAACCGAACAATTGGGTCTCTACCTACAAATTATTTAACAGCTTTACAATTCATCATAATTGTAGTAACTCATGGCATGTCACAGGATCACATATTGATCCTGGACCAGAAGGGAACTCAGCGACCAAATCCAATGGCCTTTTCTCAGTTGTCATTCTACTTGACCTTTCTGCAGCTTCTGAACTGCTGATCACTCTCTCTTTCCGGATGCTCTCTGTTCTCTAGGATTTAGTTACTATCTCCTGGTTCTTCTCCTACCTATCTGACCTCTCCTTCTCAGTCTTCTTTACTGATCTTTACCCATAACATGCCCTCTAACTATAAGTGTCCCTCAGCATTCTGTCCTGGGCTCACTTCTCTTCTCCCTCTATACTACTTCACTTGGTGATCTCATCAGCTCCCAAGATTTTAATCACTGTCTGCTGATGACTCTCAAATCTATCTATCCCACCCCAACTTCTCTGCTGACCTTCAATCTCCCAACTCCAACTGCCTTTCAGACGTTTCAAATTGTATGTCTCATAGACATCTTAAACTCAACACATCCAAAACAGAATTCATTATCTTTCTCCCTAAACCCTATCCACCCACCCCAACTCCTCACCTTCCCTATTACTGCAGAAGGCAACACCATCCACCCAGTCCCTCGAACTCAAAACCTAGGAATTATCCTGGACTCCTCACTATCTCTCACCTCCCAGATCCAATCTGTTGCCAAGGCCTGTGGATTCCACCTTTGCAACATCTCTCAAATATGCTCTCTTCTCTCCTCTGACACTGACCAGTCTAGTAGTCCTCATCACCTCAAGCCTGGATGATTGCTATAGCCTGCTGGTGGGTCTGCTTGCCTTAACTCTCTCCTCACTCTAATCCATCCTCCATTCAGCCACCAAAGTGATTTTCCTAAAACAAAGGACTATGTTAACCCCCCCCCCCAATAAACTCCAATGGCTTCCTACTGTCTCCAGGACCAAATACATAATGCTTTGTTTGGCATTCAAAGCCCTTTGTACTCGAGCCTCCTCCTATCTTTCCAGTCTCCTTACATCCCAGTGACACAGGCCTCCTGGGTGCTCCATGAACAAGACACTTATCTCTTGGCTCCAGGCATTTTTTCTCTGGCTGTCTCCCATAAATGGAATGCTTTTCCTCACTCTGACTACTGACCACCTTGGCTTCCTGAGTACCAACTAAAATCCCACCTTCTTCAAGAAGGCTTCCCCAACCCCTCTTAATTCTAGTGCCTTCCGTCTGTTAATTATTTCCTATTAATCCTGTGTATAGCTTGCTTTGTGTGTGTGTGTGTGTATTTGTATATATATATATATACATATATATATATATATATAGCTCTATATTTGTATATTACCTGTTGGTTTGTATATATTTGTTTGTTGTCTCCCCCATTAGATTAGGTCCTGTCTTTTGCCTCTTTTTATATCTCCAGTGCTTAGCACAGTGCCTGGCACATAGTAGGTCTTTAACAAATGTTGACTGATTGATATAGTTCCAATATCTCCTTTTAAAGATGAGGCCCACAAAGATTAAGTATTTTGCCAGAGGTCACAGAGAAATCAGAGCTGAGATTCAAATCCAAGTCCTCTAACTCAAAAGTCAAAGGGTTTGGAGTTTTTTTTGTTTTGTTTTTTCTACCCTACCATGCTGTCCCACAGGGTTTTGGCTACGAAAGCACTTTGTAAATGTTAAAGCATACGAAAATGTAGTTATTACTAGAATACATAACTTCTAAGGAAATTACCAGCCTGTACTGGTTTGACAAAAAACACCAGTCTGCTGGTCTTGCCATGGAGTCAAAACAGCTGTGTTATAATGGGAAGTGCACTGGATTTGGAGTCAAGCCTCAGTTCAAATCCCAGTCCAGCACTTCCAGTTACATAACCATGGGCAAACTGGGGAACATAGCTTCAATTTCCTCATCCACTAAAAAAAAAAATATATGAATATATATATATATGAATATATATATATGAATATATATATGAATATATATATATGAATATATATATATGAATATATATATATGAATATATATATATATGAATATATATATATATGAATATATATATATGAATATATATATATATATATGAATATATATAATAAAACTCAAAGCACCTACCTTAATGGGGTTAAAAGGATCAAACAGTATGTGAAGCTTGGTAGATGCTAAAGTACTAGGTCATTATCAGTTGCCGTTATAAAGCATTTTTTCAAATGAAGCTGTATAACTTATTTTAACATCATAGGATCATCCCACCATAGAGTTAGAGCAGGGTTAGAGGTCTTGAGTCCAAACCCCTCATTTAAAAATGAGGAAACTGAGGCACGAAGGGGCTGCTCTTTGGATAACACCCAATATTTACATAGCACTTTAAGGTTTGAAAAAGCCTTTACGTAAATTATTGCATTCAGAAAGCATTGGTAAGACTCTTTACAGACCTTAAAGCTCTATATAAATTCTAGCTATCATTATAAATAACCACCTGACATAGGTGCTATTATTCTCATTTTGAAGATAACAAAACTGAGGATGGGAGAGGTTAAGGGTCACAAGCCTTCTTCCTTTAATCCCACTTGCTATGAGTCCAAAGAAACACAAAAACACAACCCATGCTCAGAAAGGAAGGAACCAGCTAACAGGAAGGGAGTTTATAGTATAGATCAGGGATGGGGAACCTGCAGCATCTAGGCTACCTGTGGCCCTCTAGGTCCTCAAGTGCAGCCCTTTGACTGAATCTAAACTTCACAGAACAAATCCCCTTAATAAAAGGATGTGCTCTGCAAAACTTGGACTGTCAAAAGGCCACACCCAAGGACCTAGGCCACAGGTGGCCTCGAGGCCGCAGGTTCCCCACCCCTGGTGCAGATCATTTACGGACCTGCCCCCACTTGATGCGGTGATACACTAAATACTAGCTTCCGCGCTCCACAAGTTCCATTGGTATAAAGGACGTCTGCAAACACCAGTACCATCTCCAGCTCCAGGTCCATCATGGGGGTGAGAAATCTGTAAACATCAACTGCCCCTCCAAGCTCCAGGAGCATCACTGGGATAAAGGGCATCTGTAAACACCAGCAGCACCTGAGGAAGTGGGGAAGGGGCGAGCCCAACCAACACACGTGCCTTCTTCCTTTATCTAGATGTCAACATTGGGAAAGGGGTTCCTGTCAGAAATGTACCTTCACATCAGAAAAATAATCAATCCAATCAATACACATTCATTAAACGCCTACTACGTGCCAGGAGCGCTGGAGATAACAAAAAGCGGCAAAAGACAGTTCGTGCCCTCAAGGGGCTTACGAGAAAGGGCCAGATGACACGCGCAAGTGTTGTCTGCTTTCTCCAAGCAACGGCAAAGAGAAGAACCCAAGAGAAGGGACAGAAGCGAAGCCGGGAGAGAGGCTCTCGAAGCGGATGGGTACCTGCCCTGCTGCCGCCGCCGGCTCCTGCCCCATCCGACTTCCACCACTCGTCTCCCAGGTCGTCAGCCATCCCCGCTCCAGGCAACGTACGCCGCAGCGGTGGACGCCTTGCAGTGCAATCGAAGTCTCTCCCGCCACCGGGCTCCAAGCACAGCCGCCGCCGCCTCCCCGAATGCTGCAAGCACGCGGAGTCCGGAACCTACAAGCACTGGCAGCTGCCAACAGACGCTCCAGCTCCTCCCGGGAGACACCTACTACGCAGACGTAGTCGCCCTCCTGTCCCCTCCCCTTCCTTACCGGGTCACATCTGTCCGCACTTTCCACACACCTGTTGAAGGAAGAGAACCGCTACAGTGAGGAGGAACAAGAAAATAAATCATATAAAAACACGATGTCGTTTAGAGACGCTTTATCTACATTTATTCATTAAATATTCTAGGGAAAAAATTTAACGCTTGATTTGTTTAAAAAATAGTGTTGTCGAAAGTGCTGGAAAGAAAAGAGGGTTTTTTGGTTTTTTCCTCCAGTTTTAAAGGGATACTGCCGCGGGAAAAAGTGCGACCCACGTGGGTGCCGTGTAATTTACCCTGGAGCGTGCTTCTGCTGGTTCACGGTAAGAGCGAGCATGCGCTGGTGCGGCGCAGCTGCCAACGCGGGGCCCCAGAAGGCATTCCTAGTCTCCCTTAGTGCTAGCGCCTCACCTGGGGGGCCTATTTCCAATGTATGTGTAGAGCATGTTTGTATATAGTTGTTTTCATGTTGACTCCCTCGTTAGATTGTGAGCTCCTTGAGGGCAGGGACTTTTATTTTGTTTTTGCCTTTACTTTAGCACCTAGTAAGCGTTTAATAAATGCTTCTTGACTTGACTCAAAACCCTGTTTACTTCAACCCTTAGAATCAATTGCAGGGAATGGGCACTGGTCTGGCTTTCCAGGGAAGACCACTCGTGGCCATGAGTATCGATTCCTTCCACAAAGTGGTTTGGAGCTTGGGGAACTGGAAACTCTTTCTCCGGACTCACCTTGAAAAAAACAGGGTTTCAATAGAAGATAAAGAGAGAGGAGACACTGCATTGGGAGGAAGTAGCACGGAAGGGATAATGTGTTTGGACGGAAAAAAAAATTGACAGCCAGAGTGTATGATGGCTGTAGAGGAAGAGTGAAAAATGAAGCTGAAAAATTAGATTAAGGTGAAGTCTTTGAATGCCAGGCTGAATTTGGACTTTATTCTCTGTGTTATGTGGAACCGTTTAATGTTTTTGAGCAGAGCAGTGACATAATCACTGTCATATTTTACTTAGTATGAATGAGAATGAAGAGAAATTGAGTGATAAGTTTGTTGTAGAATCATTTATCCTGACTGAAGAACATTTAACAGCCCCATTATTAGATAAGAAATACAGTTACTATATTCACTATAGTGAAATATAGTGACTAAGAAATATAACTGTTGATCAATGGAATATATATGTATATACATATACACACATTACATACATATATGTGCTTATGTGTATATACACACACACATATGTAAACAACCATAGTAACATAGTGTTCAATAACCTGAAAGATCCAAGTTATTGGGGATTGACTGAACAAGTTGCAGCATATGAATGTGTTGGAACATGCCATGTTCATTCATCCTGTTACCTGCCCTTGTTTCCATTTTCTTTATGTTTCTTTACTAAATCTAAGTTGATTGACAAGTTATGTGTGCATTCACATCAGTCTTTTCACAAACATCTTATTTTTCTTCCTCGCTGAAATAGTTTTTATTTTCCTTTGTGTCTGCAGAATTTTATTCTTCATTATCTTGCATCTTTCCTAAGCAGACTCCTTGTAGCATTTTAGCCCATGGAATTCTATTTTTCTTCTAAACCTTTTGAAATCTGCATTCTCAAAATGGAGGGTAAGATATCACACTATGCCCAGATTTCTTCTGCTGTATGACAGATTCTAGGAGAGAATGGTCATTTTTGTCCACAGTGCCTCCTCCCTCCCCAAGTTTGCATAATTTCAATGCCAGCACCCAGTTCCTCCCTGTTGCTGAGAATCATTTACAAGATAAAATCTCCCCTTGATGGTTTCTTTACCAAACAATGAAATTATCACTAAGGAAAATAAAGAAGTTATTAACTATTCTGATTTTGGTAATGAGAATGTCAGCATATATCTAGATACCTGCTGTCCTCAATCACTACTATATCATACCTCTGTGACAAGCTTTTGATTATTTCCCGAACTCATCTTCTTTGGGTTGGTTTCTGAATAAAGCTTTGAATTTTCCATTCAAGATAATATAATACTCTGTTAAAATAATTAGCTCATTTTAAGTCTATGGGCAATATAATGATCCTTAAGACCAATATGGTACCTGATCATCATCTTTAGAGAATTTATTTTAAATGAAAAATTATTTTGAGTCCCCAGTTAGAAAATATTTAACATTTAGGCAGAGTTTGGGCTCTCTGCCTAACTTTAACATTTATATCTCTCTTTAGTTAACCACTGGCCTCTTTGTAGTTGAGGCAAAATTCAGTTTATTAGAAATATTTGCATAACCAAACAGCAGATTATATTATAGCCTGTGGATACACAGGTACCAGGAAGGGAATATGGGGGAAAAGCTGGCTTTTTCTTGGCATTTCTGTCAATACAGATCTTTTGCCACGAAAAGTCTGTAGAGCTGATGACCCTCCACAATACCTCCTTTCCCTGCCATTGTTCAGTCCTGCCTCGACTCCTTAGGGGTATGCTGGAACATGTTCTCATGAATGGAATGAGCCCTAAAGTTCAGTTTCTGCTCTTTATAAAGGAAGGCACTGGGAGGAGTTTGGTACTCTACCTTCCAGGATTCAAACTTGAGTCTCTGACTCTGTGTCCTTCACATTTTTCCTTGAATCATGTTGCTTCTCATTACATATGGCCCAATGGAAAGTAAACATAAAAGCTGCAGCAAAAGCCGTTGCAGATACGCATTAAGGCTTGGCCAATTGCAAAGAGGACTCAGGCTTTCCAAGTAGGGCCAGATGGGAAAACACATGAGTTGTACAAATACAAGAAGAAACAATTCCAAAGATACAAGGAGGGGTAAGGCCCAAGGATAATATAAAATGGTGAAAGGTAGATAGTTGGTTTATTGCAAATTTCATAGATTTGACCTGCACTAACTGGGTCATTTGGACCATTACAGTGGTCCAAAGTTAATTTGGCGGTACGTGAAAGGCAGGCTGGCTTCAATAACTAATAACAATAATTAATAAATAAGCTAACCAGTAGAAATCTCTGATACTACAACAGGGAGCCTGAAACATCCTTGTGCAATCTTTACTATGTCTAAGACCACTTCAGGTTTCCCCTAGAGTGATACTGTAGTTTATGAAGCATCCTTAAAGGATAGGACTAAACTGCTCTGCAATGATGGGTTCACCATCTCTCCCAAATCCAGGAAAATATCATTGTGGCATTTCCGAGTCTCCCTTCACCACTCCCCAAGCGATTCCATAATGTTGTTGAGTCATTTTTCAGTCATGTCTGACTCTTTGTGACCTCATTTAGGGTTTTGTTGTTGTTGTTTTTTGTTTTGTTTTTAGCAAAGATACTGGAGTAATTTGTCTTTTCTTTCTCCAGCTCATTTTACAGATGAGGAAATAGAGGCAAAGAGGGTTAAGTGATTTGCCCAGGGTCACACAGCTAGTAAATGTCTGAGGCTAGATTTGAACTCAGGAAGATGAGTCTGACTCTAGACCCAGCACTCTATCCACTCCACCACCTAGCTGCCCTTCCATACTGTTACCTTTTGTAAAAATGGTATGATGAGAAAATAGATTGTTGTTGTTTGTCCTTCATTCTCCAGGAGGACCAATGAAGGTGATGTTTTGACTTGCAAGTGAATTGTGTTTAAGTGAGACAGAGCTGTGCAAAGCCATCAGCCCTACTCTCTCCTCCAGAGTTGTTAGAGTCTAGTGGTAAGACACAGGTCAGGATAACTGGCTGGGAAGACATATGAAGTAATGTAGTAAGAGGAAAAACAGAGAAAGAAAGAAAGAAAAACTGACTACCATTATATAACTAAAGAAAAAAACAACAAATCTATCATACATGCACACACACACAAAATTCACAATCTAATGGAAGAGACACTGTGCATACAATTATATATAAAACATATATGCAGGGTAGGTTGGAGATAATTTAGAGGGGAGGCACTAAAAGGCTTCTTGCCCCTTGCAAGGTTATTGCACCTATTTCTCTCACCAAAACCAAAGGGAAAAAATGGCTTCTTCTCCTTCCCCCTGTAATCATGGTCTCTAGCTAGAAAGTTAGTGATCTTACATTATGATTTCCATAGCCCATCTGCTGTAAATTTGCATACCTGCACATCTAATGCATCTCCCATGATACCCATCCGCACAAATAACATGTTGATTTCTAAATGCAAACCATAAAAAGCACCCCAACAAATTTAGAATGTACACATGGGTCACTCTCTCTCTTATAGTTTTTTTTTTAAGTATTCATTAAATATGACCAGGTAGTTGCAGATTGGACAGCTAGGTGGTACAGTGTGTAGATCACTGATCCTAGAGTCAGGAGGACCTGAGTTCAAATTTGGCCTCAGACACTTACTAGCTGTGTGACCCTGGGCAAGTCACTTATCCCTGTTTGCCTCAATTCCTCATGAATTGGAGAAGGAAATGGCAAAACACTCTAGTATCTTTGCCAAGAAAACTCCAAATGAGGTCGCGAAGAGTCAGACATGACTAATAGACTGAACAGCAAAAGTAGCAAATTGCTTAGAAACTAAAGTTTAGTTAGCTTGTTTTAAGGGCCAATTCTGCCACTTCTATCAACCTAAGACTAATTTTGTGTCTTTCCACTATCCATAGATAGACATAGCCTAGAACATCCTCTAGCTGGGGGATTCCAACCTCCCAAGGACAAATTGACAGGACACATCTCCCTCCTAGCACAAAAGATCAGTTAAGATGGCACCTAGACACTGATGGAGCAGATTTCCCCAGAGCCCAGTGTGAACGTGTTGGTTATAAAAATCACACAGAATTCTTGTTCTGTTTCTCCTGAGAAAGTAGGCCAATCAGATTGCAAGCATCAGGGGAGTCCCTGATGCTAATTAGTAGAGGCCAAAGATGTCTGCTTTTAACGTGGTTGATGGCTGTGAGTATAAAGTTGTTACTACCCATGTACATAGCTGTTCTCCCCC